AGATATTTTTTTCTTGATACCCTTTCCTGCTTTGTAAAGTGACACTCATTCCTACGCTATTTTCATTGTCCCCCCTACTATTATTAACACTGCTACCCATTGCCTGCCACCTACTAATCTGAGTCATCTCTAAATTTAATATCGACCAAAAATTTTTAAGTTTCGTGTATATAAGATACATACAATCAAGCAGTCAACCGAGACAGATACCATCCCTGTATAAAATTAAACTGTGAAATATAATGTACTTGTACAATGGATTGGCTAAAATTAAAATGCATGTCCAGGATACCTTAACGTCTTATTTCTATCCATTGACTGTTTCCCTAGCGCTTGACATTTCGATAACATTATATATGATTATCAATGGTGGATGGTGACCAGCAAAGGGGGATCCAAGACGCGCTTTTCGTCCCATTTGGGACTCATCAGGTGGATGTACCTGCCTCCCAGTGAGTGATGTTGTCCCCACCAGGACTCGGACCCCGGAGTGATCTCTTCAAACGCTGGAGCGTTATTCACTACACCGCCGAGCCACGATAGCCACTTCTTGGCGACAAATATATTTTTAGTGTTATTGCTTGTATTATACCGTCGTATAATACAAGCAATAAAATTATATGTGATCGCATACAAAATGTGGACTGTGTATTGCACAGTGCTCAGTAAAAAATATCCTTTTGACTTTCATTTATCAAACATAAGCATACAATATGTCTTCGAATTTCTCATCGAAAGAAGTGAGGAGTGTGCAAATGTCATACCATATTTTGATTACTCAAAATAAAAAAGCTAAATAACTTATGACCCTACATTTTTTTGATGCTTTAGTGCACGTTCTTGGCATCAAAATAATGCTAGGCTTAATAGACACGTGACTTTAGTTCTATTAGTTTGTTCTAGTGTATAGGCATCCACAGGTTGACATTAACCGTTTTTGCGTCTTCTTAGTTCTGGTCGGCAGTAACTTGCTCAGAGTCCCTAGATTAGCCATTAATAGACAGATAAGTTAGCATTCTTCCCTTAATTTAACTTCTTAATCCCTGACTAATGAATAAACTGTTTATCTGATTGCTTTTTACCATATAATTTGTTTTCTAATTTGTCTTGTTACTCATGCTTATGCCTTATGACACTAACGTGTACTAGTTCTCCCTTTACCTTTATGAAGATCTATAGAAGAGACATGTACATCAACTTTGTGTTCCCACATAGTCCTTGTCAACTGTACATAGCGGCGAACTCAAAAGTGTGAAGGTTTTTCTGCAGATTCGATTTCAAAGTAATTGAAATATTTTAGTCAGTAATAAGGATTTCACAGCTACACCTAGGATCATCCTTAAAATAATAAGTTTCTTCAAAATAATCTTTGCTTCTCAGGCTGTCAAATAATTTGATCTTGTCAATGACTTCAGAAATGTCAGTGCAATATTTCTGTTGTAGAGCAAGACTTTTTGAAAATTCGCTCACACTAGTAAAACTGTAGATACAGTCTTCCAGCAAAATTTTCAAACAACCTAATACCTAATTTTGAGCTGTTTGAAGGAATCGGATTTACTACTCCATTATTGCAAGGCTATTCTGTAGATAAATAATTTTATCGGATGTTCAGTTTTTCCATACTCAACATTAAAATCGTTCCACTACCAAGAATATTACTTAAGTACATATATTCTACAAATGCAATGTGAAAACTTTTAATTTCCATCCCCATTTTGTTGCATGTTTAAAATGCTTCGAAACATTCAATCACTCTTAATACAAGACGTACTATCCAAAGTTTATAACTGATACTTTAAGATGATAATCCAGTACTAAAGTCGACTTGTTACCGAATATTATTCTCCCAAGAAAATTGGCTACTGTTAATTTTAAAAACTTTGATGATAACTCGGTAAATACAACTGACAATTGAAATCGTTTCACTCAACCTAATAGCCCAACTGTAAACATAATTGCCACATAATGTTCAGTGTACAGAAGCTGGCAGTTAAACCGATTGCCATTGGATTATTTAGTTGTGTATTGAATTAGTATTTTACCTGCATTATCTGCCACTTGTCATCAAGCCGTCGACGAAATATTGAAAGCTTCAGTTTTATATCTAGATTTTGGTGAAACTATAAATTGCACTAAATTTAAGTTGATCTTTTCCGAAGCTCAGTTGTCTTGACTGTCAATTTCTTTTTGAAACAGGGAAGTGTTCTTACGTCAATGGAAAACTCGCTACTACTTTTTTGGCAGACGCTATACATAAACTATTCAGTTGTCGTACGAGTTTACTAACACTTCAAGTAGTATATTAGGCAAAGAAAATACTGATATTCTGATATTTTCGGATTATAAGTCAACAATTGTTTCAAAAGTCTGTGTAAGTTAAGTTTGTAGGAAGTGTAATGTTTTGACGACAGTGAACTTATTTTTATAAAACTAAATGTTAGCTATCTTTTGAAAGACTAGATAAGTCATCTTGAAAGAGTTTTCACAGTACTATTACCTAAATGCAATAACTTAGAAATTCCGAAAGATTCAGCAGGAATTTCTGATTAAATAATGAATGGTGAAGAATGGACAATAGAAGGCTCATTTGTTTTTTTCTTTCGTCCTGAGAAAATTTCTCTCTGTCTCACCCATCCACACCCACAACCTCTCTCTCTATGCTTATAAAGAACCATCAGGTTAATCCGAATATCTCAAATACATTAATGTTTTATACAACTCAAGAGTTATTATTATTATTATTATTAGTCCCTTGGGTTCCTAGTGGAACATAGGGCTTCAGTAGCACATCTCCAGTACACTCTGTTCTCTGAGATCTTTTCAACCTGGTTCCACAACAGCCCAGAAGCTCTCATTTCCTCCTCGCACGACCTCCTCCATGTCACCCTCACCTCGGACGTCCAACTCGTCGCTTACCATGGGGATTCCACTCGAGGGCCTGACGCGTGATGTCCCCAGTCGGCCTTCTCAGTGCATGCCCAATCCATCTCCATTTCCTCCTGCATATTTGTTGCGTGATAGGTTCTTGGTTGGTTCGTTCCCAGAGCTCCTTGTTGCTTATTCTTTCTGGCCATCTGATCTTCAGTAGCGAGCGTAAGCAGTTGTTGATGAATGTCTGTAGTTTATTGGAAATGCCTTTCGTAACGCGACAAGTCTCTGAACCATACAGAAGCACTGACTTGACGTTGGTGTTGAAAATCCGTATCTTGTTCCGCATGCTGAGTGCAGAAGATCTCCACACTGGTTTCAGGCCAATGAACGCCTGTCTTGCTTTTCCGATTCTGACTTTGACATCCTCGTCCGTCCCGCCTGTAGTTGAAACAGTGCTTCCTAGATAAGTGAAGAAGGTTACTTCCTTTAAGTTTCTCCCGTTGATAGTGATTGAAGTTTGTTGTTGGTGGTGGTGGTGCGGTATCTTCATCACCTCTGTCTTCTCTATATTCACCTGAAGTCCCGTCTTCGCTGCCTCCTCTATCAACTTGTTAGTTTTTGCCTGTAGATCTTCAAGTTTATGTGACATCAGGCACAAGTCATCGGCGAAATCCAAGTCTTCTAGGTTCTTTTCCGCAGTCTAGTGTATCCCCCTCTTCTCGCTGCCCACTGTTTGCTGCATGATCCAGTCCACCACAATCAGGAAGATCATAGGTGATAGTAGACGACAGCCTTGTTTCACTCCTGTCTTCACTTCAAAGGCATCACTGAGCTTCCCATTGTGAATTACTTGGCACGTGGCATCTTCATATAGTTGTTGAATGAGATTGATAAAGGTTTGTGGTACTCCGTAGTAATGAAGCAGTTTTCAAATTACTTCTCGGTCGACGCTGTCGAAGGCCTTCTCGAAGTCGATAAAGTTGAGGTAGAGAGCTGATTGCCATTCTATGCTCTGTTTTATGATGATGCGAAGCGTTGCAATTTGGTCTGCACATGATTTGTACTTCCTGAAGCACAAGTGTTAATAACAAATTACTTATAGGAAATCAAACCATGTACTTAACTTCATATAACTTATCAAGCGATACTATACATTCAAGTCAAGGGACTCCGACTACAGTACAGTTTCATAAGTTTTCAAGATCACTGATAGTCTGAGTTATCTAAAGCAAGTCGTTCTAGAAAATTTATTTATTTCATATTCCCTTCCAATTCAATCTTGTTATCTTGATAATTTCGAGGCGATGCAAGATCTAATTTCTAGTTAAGAATGTCTTCATATCCTAAATCAGATTATGTGATCTTAAAAAACAAAGTGATTTGAACTTTTCTGTGACAAAAAGTAGAATATTATACAAATTAGAAGTGTACTAGAACCCTTAGGGAAATGATTCATGTTGATTACATCATGTTACAGTTTAAAATTACACTAATTCTTTAAACTACATGAAATATAGAATCAAGTCACTTAACCATTTTATTTGTTTTACTTTTTTTTAATAGATTTGTAAGAAATAATCCTCGAGTAACCCAATGTCAAAATGAGACCTGGAATTGCAACTGAATGTTCCCATCACTATTGAATAGCAAATCATTATCCCTGGGCTATAGTAGCAGTATCAGGAAGTTAACTTACAGCCAAATAAATACGCTACTGATAGATGTGGTATAGCTCCATTACTCTACAGTAACAATTTTTGCGTTAGTTTTGCGCGATTACTAAAATCAAAATATAATATTTATGAAGTTCTAGTAGTCTTCTTTACTGAGGTACTTTTTCCAATGATATAACGTTCTGCTTTTTACTTAATTCAGTGTTAGACTACAGGACAATGTTGAGTGAAGTTTCACATGGGATTCTCAACTCATACAGATAAATCCCTGTCTGACATGTGCGATTTTCAACCATTCATGTGTATTATTAGTGTTAGTTGACCAGAAAAAGTGTTCCAACATACGAGATGGCCATTTCTCTCACTTAAAGTCATAACCTTTGATGAGGTATGCGTAATAATTTAAAAGCGTTACTACTTCTGTTAGTCTGATAAATAAATAAAATATGTAATCTATTAAACTTCTTCGTTATCATATATTGTATTACCTGTACATAATAATTCATATGGAATATTCATTTGTTTCCAAATTGGAGCAACTTTGGAACTGAAAATACTCATTGCATTTCCTGTACCACTTTGAGGATTGATTATCACTAGATAAGGTTTGACTAAATTAATAATAACAAAAAATAGAAACTAAATTTAGTCTTTTATAAGCAATATCCGAGACATTTTTTAAAGTTATTCATTGGAAAACATTCAGTATGCTTTATTAATTGTCTATCAGATTTGTCAAACAGAATCAATTTGTTTAATTTATTGATCTGTAATCGATAATAAGCAACCTTAAATATGGTACAACACTGAATCCAAAGAATACAAATTTGTTTTTTATCAGGATGAACAGTAAAGTTGATGAGGCCTCATTTGAATACAGAGATATAGCGAGAGAAGATAGTGATATTTTAGGTGTTAGAGTAGGTGCCCTTTAAAAACTATTGAGATGAAAGATTGATTCAAATATTAGATGAAAACCGCTTCATCACATCTGATTTGTCAAATAAATTGCACGTGAGGCACTTTGTCGGTTAACCGTTTGTAAGTTATCAGTGATATTTGAATGGAGCCCTGCATTCATAAAATGAAAGACAGTTATTACCACTAGGAAACTCTTTACAATGAACAAACGAACTAACGGCTTTTCGTCTTTCCCAACCATCCTCAGTTGCTAAACATGTTTCCAGTTTCAACCTGTCTGTACGCTCCCCAGAATCAAAGGTTGCTAGGTATAAATCTGAAGCAACCTTCGGCAAAAGTTAAAATTGCGTTTCCTGTTTACATCTGGGGGGAAAATTTATTGTATACTAAATTCATGTTCTTATAAGAAAACTCATCTTTTCTGAAATTAGCGATCAAGTATTTTTGCGATAAAGAGGAATTCGTATGCTCTTGTATATATATCCAGATGTAAGGTTTACATCAGAAATTAAAGTCCTATCCGACAGAATATTTTATCATAAACATCCTGGACTTATTACTGGAGCAACTTTCGACAGACTATACTCACTGTCTAGATACGGACAGATATATTTCACTGGTCATTTTAACTCCTTCTGTTCACTAAACTACTTTACAGAAATAAAATGAAGCCTTCGTGAAAGTGACTGATTATATATAGTACTCTAATTAGCCTAATCTTCAGTCTAGGATAAAGAGGAAATCCGGAATTTATTTGATGCTCCTCTCTAAAGTCAAAAGAGGATGACTCAGAATAATTCCAAAGAAGCTTTTCCAAATGTTTGTCCAGTGAATTTTCTGCTTTATTCTAATTTTGTCAGATAATGATTTGTGTCTATTTATTTGTAAATTGAAACCAGTAAGCAAACTGCTGGATAACCAAATGACTTTTGAAATCTCCCAAGTGTGGTAGTAAAAGTTGTTAAATATAAATAGGTACATGATAAACAGATACGATAGCAAGTCTCACCTTCAGCTGATTCGGTATTCTGAAAATGTAGCTCCATAGCTTTCAGGCATCTACAAGCTTCTTTTTCAGATTGGAATAGTATATTGAGATTGGTTTTTTGCAAAGCTACTAAACTATTTCCTTTCCTGAAATTCTGAAGGAGATTTTAACCGATATTTAGTTTAGTTCTCACCTTCCTTAGTTTAAAATAGGTCAGTCTCAGACATGCATTGCACTTCTCACTCCACCTCGAATTGACCCCTTTTGTACACCCAATCAAGCAAGTTTTATGAATGTATATCTTGTCAGATGGATTCTGATACTTCCGTGTAATAAATATTCCACCTTCATTCAGAGAAATTGTACATTGTATTTTGTGCAGAAACGATACAATGTGAACATCATAAGATGCATCTAAACTCTGCCGCATCTCTATAACAGTAAGTATGTAAAAGTACACACTTCAGATAGGATGACGTTTGAACAAATACGAAATTCAATTTCTAAGCTTACCCATACCTTTCAGATAAAAAATAACTATTACTCTTGCAATTTCCATAGCATGACTTAATAAGCAGAAATCTGTGTGAAAGTGGCACAATAAGTATAAATGCATAAATTTAAGGTTGTTCAACAGTATTATTTATTGTCTGATATGATTTTGCTAGGTGCATCTTAACATAGAGCAAACAAAAGTGCAATGAAAACAACACTTCAGTGAAGAAAATATCCGTTTGCGATAATTTCATTTCCAAAACCCGTAAAATAGTCAAGGCAAAAATTTTAAACAACTTGTAGCTTTTTCCCTTTTCGAATTTTATGGTTTAAGTTGCTGTCTAATTCACACGGATATACATTCATGAAAGATAGCCACACACACATAATAATAATGATAACTTGTAATACTAACAAGAGTCCACTGGCCAAAGGATCCTATGATATCAGATATTTTAAGTTATATTGACAAGCCTACAGTAAAACAGATTTCCGTGTAGCTGGACAAACTAATAAAAAGTATGCGACATAATAGATATGAAGTCGAGAATTACTATTCTTTGACAGCAGTTCATGGATACCCCGAAACTTTGTACAGCTGCCAAAATAATTTGCGAATCAAATGTCAACAGGTGTAAGAATTCGATTTTAATTATGCTTATGTATATACAGCTTTATGGGACTTTTCCTCTGAGAAAAATTAAAGTAGCTTTTTTGGTGCAGATTCTATCATAAAATCGAGTGCTTAAGGTATAATATCTCGCAAGTAAACTTTTTCACGGAAGCTAGTTTTTATTAAAGAAAGGAAGTATCACTTCTAATTCTGCGTAATAGTCTGTAAAAATGTAGACTGACTGTATAAAAATAATCGTGGTGCAAAGAACTTCTAATTCAAATTCTGATGTTACATACACTGGAATAGGTTGCCATTTAAAATAAATTGGTAGGTATTTAAAAAACTTGAAACTCTGATCCTCACCCTCCTTAATGATAATAATTATTCGGATTCAACTTGAAGAGAAGTGCATTTATTATGTTTACTAGTCTTACGGTAACCCATAAATTATTAGTGGTTAAATGTTCCTATGTTACGTTATTATTAGCAAAACTTTAGATTCCGAACCTTCTTAGCTGTTTCAATATACGTTACAAGTGGGAGATAAACTACGGAATTTGTCCTAAAGACAAATCTATAAAATATAAAGGTTAAATCCAATTTTACGACAGTCTGCATAAACAAACAGGATTTCTTGGTTCCACACAATATAACACCTGAGCGACCAAATTAACCTTATCGTCTGATATCTGCATGATACCCTTTAAGCTAATGAAACACATCCCTTTTATCAGAAGATTAGGAAAGGAATGGAGGTTATGTGTAAGTTGGTCATTCTCAGGAATGCTCAAAGTTACACATTCTGTCTAGGAAAGAATGCTGTTAATTGGTATAACAAAGTGACAAAATGTCCACTATTATATAGTTGTATCTGGTAATACCAGCCTACAGCCGATCTTCACAAGTCATTTCCTACCATTGTACTCAACAGAACCAGTTTCAGTCTATGAAACCTAGCTCATATTACAAGCGTCAAAAGACTAACAAAAAAAAATTATCTTACTACTATCTAAATGAAGTGATATTTCTCTAGCTACTAAGAGGGAAGAAAAGCTTTCTTTCTAACCACAAGTTAAGGCACTGAACCAGTTCTATTTAATTTAGTCAAAGATATTACCTGGAGTAGGAGTTTACTTTGATGTTTTTAGAAATCGTGGAGAAGTGAGCTCATTTTTTAAGTGCCCTAAGACCTACTCGTAGCAGTATTCATCATGTGCCTTGAAATATATTTCTGGTTAGTGATAATCACTGCTTTGAGTTTTTGCACAGGATAAAAGTTATATTGTCATTTACAAATGTTCCACTGGAAAAGCTGTTAGAAAGTATAGAAGCATCTTATTGACGACTAAAAATAACACTATCAATATTTGTCTACTTAGGTTTTCAATAGCAGCCAACTAAATATTTTTTAATGAGGACATGCTATGAAGAAATGCCATGAACTGCGCTCTGATGAATTTATACGATGCGCCATTACGAAATGCACTTTTGTGCTTCTCATGAAGCAGGGTAGAAATTTATTATTCCCTTTAGAAACACACGAAAGGTCTTAAATCACCAAAGCCAAAATGAAGTTGTTTTTTACATTATCAAGTTTTATGTAACATACGGTCTTTTGAATTTGGATGGCAAAGTAGAAATTTACTTGTCAGCATTAGGTCACAATAATTGTAGCACGGTGAAGAGTTTCCAGCATTTATCAACCACTATTCTTATAATTGTGTTGGTCATTTATCAGCTATTTTATAGAAGACTGTCACACAACGAAGCTTTTAGGTGGAAAAAAACCAAATCTGATCTGACGACAACAGGCATCAACTCATATATCCCAAACACCTGCATGATATGTGTTAAAACACTCGGAAAACAGGCTACCAGAAGCCCACCTTCCATCAACCCAGTGCAAGAGCAGCAAGTACAACCACAGATGTATTCTTTCAAGTGCATTATCTTAGGATTTAAATTTACAAATAATCTCCAGTTTCTTCGCCAACACATTTTCGTTACAACTACTTAACTTTGATGCAATAATGAGATAACTGATGCAGACGGCTTTAGATACCTTAAATTTCTCAGAAACTGATCCACTGCATGAAAAAATCTGATGAGAGTGGAATACATTGAAAAGTACAAAATATTTTGAAATCTTTAAAATAAATGTTAGAACACGGCTGCACGCGTTTACCATTTGCAAAACTTAAGATAATGCTTGAAAAACTACTTGATATAAAGTTTGAGCATCTGTTGTGAAGTTATTCTATATGCTGATTAGTTCCATCATTCAAAAAGTTGTATTAGTGCTAGATCACCACTGACAAATAGAATTTACTTATGGTTATAAACCATCCAAGGGTGCATATACATCTTGTAGCAGATACCTGATATACTGACCTTGACATTAAGAATATCGCAGGGCCGGTGTATGTTATGGCATAATTGCTAGAATTCCGTAGTCACTGGTGTGACTTAGGCTAAACCTGGGCCATCAAACTATCAGAAAAAGATTTTAAAGATACAATAATGTCATTAATCGAAAAGTAGGTCAAGGACGTCATTACAGCTTGAATGCAGAGTGACTTCTTGTAGTCTAGTAAATGGTGCAATAAAAGTTTACTCTCATTCAACGAATATCAGAAACCCACCATATAACAGTTTTATAAATTGTAATAAGGCTTTTGAAATCAAGCACTAAGCCGCGTTGTCTATCACGAAAAACAGGAAGTTTTAAGAACTGCAGATAAGTTCCCTGATTGGATCAGTGGCTTTGTTATTGACAGAAGCCAACAGGTAAAGATTAACCTCTTGCTCCTTAAATAAACTGCAATACACAAATTACTGTTGTTATGAACTTACAGAACCCTCCTTAATACTCCTCTTGAATATAAGTGAACTGTACTGCATCTTCCAACTATCCTATAACTTGAAAAACTAGCGGAAGCTGGAGCAACAGAACAGTGTACTTAATACCCAAACAAACTCAAGTCTGTCAGCCCACCTAGAGAAATACTTTATACATACCAATGCAGACAAATATGCGATTATACAGATAGGCACACAAGTATCAACGACTGAGGCAGTTTTGCCCCTTCGATCCATAGTGATCTATCTGATAAATATACAATCTGTTAACCACAGCACACTGTTGCTTATTCACAACTGAAGGCATTCGGGTGCTGTGAACTGTGGGCAGGAACTTCATCTTGGTTATAAATGACAAGTTCACTAAGTGATACACAGCATTAGTTTGTGCCAAAATACGAAAATGTGAAAAGAGAGCAATTTTTATGACGACTGATTTCAGACGAATGCAAAATTCAGAGCAAAGAGGAAAGTTGAAGGAAACAAATAAAAAGAGATTTTTACGCAGAGAAATCACTTATTTGAGATAGAAAATGAAATATTTTCCACTAAATTTATCCTTAATTATCAGTATTAGCTATCCACGATCAAGAAACATATTCTTATGCCACGTTCCCCCGAATTACCTTGACGGTTAACAAATATATCCTCATTCTTGCTCATTTACATTCCAATAAAAAACAAAATTAAATTTTGATTCACACGAGCCAAACACAATGAACATTTAGCAAACATATAATTTACTTAGGAAAACACGGTTGAAACATCATACTGTGCAACAGAACAAAAGTAGCCAGCATATGGTTAGCTCTGCAGCTTACCAAATTCCCAACCAAGATGTTATGTCTCACAATTTATTTCAGTAAAAAATTTTTCACTACCTAACAGTTCAACCAGGTGAAATTCGAACTAGTATTTAGATCTGTTGAAAAGTATAAATATTATCCATGAAACATCATCAGATGATACTATTTTTAAGATATGCTCTATATAAATATCGAAAATTCAAAGAAGTCAATAAAACTTCATTCTGGCAGTAAAAAGCGGATCATTACGGAAAGTCCAAAAAGTTCAGATTACCTAGGACGTTAACACGAACACAAAAATATTTTTCAAAATGTAACAAATAAAGTGTTGATGTATTGCGATTTGTTTTAACAACACTTTTCGTCGGACATTAAACTGTTTAGTTTTCACACAGTTTTTCAACTAATCATGAACTTCATCCTGTATTAAAGATATCTGGATGTAATTAGTACTACACTTTTTGCACTCAAAATTCACCACCAAGTGAATACGAATGTATATATCGCGTTAGACTTGATCCACTTAGGTTCAAATTCCTTTCCTCTCTCTTTCCCCACCACTTCATACTGCAGTGGAGCAAGTCCATTCCACTATTTTCAACCAAAATAGTTTAGTGGCTTGAGTGAATATCAAAGTAGTTTTGGCCATGATTTTCAGAAAACAAGTATAAAGAGCTGGAATAATAATAATGCTGACACTATATCTTGAAATGTCTGAGGTTTTCAACTTCTGTAGCTCGAAATAATAATCTTCTTCATCCGAATATTATACTGGCCAAAAGCCATTGTTATCTATTCCTTTTTACGTTCTCGAAGATACAGAATTTTCTGGAGCATGAAAATGAAGATTCGTGAATGAATTTATAACAAACGTTTATGTATTCTCTCAAAACACAGTTTTGTACACTCACTGACAGTTCGCAGGTATCATAAGAGAGATATGGACAGGAATGGCAAGCAGTGTGTTTTTAAGAATCTATTTACACTACTCAGTGTTCAACCTGCGATCACAGCTTTGTACTTTAAGTAACCAAGAGTGATCAGTCTTTGAGTGCAACAACTGAAGAAGGTGGGTGCACTGCCGACGTGGCAAAGAAGTGCCATATCAGTATTATACCTCAGCAACGCGCAATCCACGCACGCGGTTCTGAGACACTCGCCCACAGCCCCGTCGGAGATCACACTTAGCTTCGGCTTGCCTAAAGTGTCTGACAAACTCCCAGTGACCACCAAAGACCAGGTATCCTTCCAAACCACTGTCACGAGGGACTTTCACTCTCCAGACGGTCTAGGTGATGGCCTACGTTGGTCCGAAGCCTGGGCGGCTCTAAACCAAACAAAATACTGCCTACACCGAAGGCGATCACATCCACCCTAAGGCCTGGAGCCAAATCAGCAACAGCAACCAGTGGAAAACTTAATGAATGAGTTGGGGTAGAGAAGAAAGCCCGAATTATCCATGAAAGTGCACCCATAATGTAGGCCTCGCTGACCGTTCTAGCCCTGTAATTCTATTCAGCGTTCCTATCCGCAATGACAGTCACTCTGGAACATACGGACAGGTTTGATAGGAAGCAGTGGAACTCCCCTTGTGTCATGCTAGGTCTGGGCGCTCTCGAGGCAGGACTTTGTCGACTGTACAAAGGCGCCCATCTATTTTCAGGTAGCCTCCGCCGGTGGGAGTGACTCCAGGGTCAATTAGGGACACCGAAAGGTTCCACTTACTGTCACACACCCCGGTTATCAACAGAGCGTCCAAAATTGGAGCTAGACACGACCGATCATGGGTACCAAGAAACATATCTCGAGAAGCAGCTGACCCAAAAAAGCCCACCACCATGGTCGCAGATGGAATACCGTACCTGGTGATCGCTACCGCAGGTGATGAGTACACGCATAACATCCAACAACGGGAGTGGTATCAGCTAGGTGGAGCTAAGTGGGGTTGCAGCAGCGGCAGTCAGCAGACTGACACGCCCCCGGGCATCCGACAACCATGACCCACCTAGACCGGTTGCTGTCAACTTCGGACCCTCAAAAGTTCTTACCAGAGTGGCAGAGACGTGGTGTAACGTCAACAGCACCACAAGCGGGAACATCCACCGCTGTGAAAGCAGACCGAGAACACAGCACCAACCACGTTAATCGACCCCAGAAAAACGTCGCCGGACCGGTCCTAGTGGAACTGGCCAGCCACTAAAAACCCTCATCGCCAAACTTGTGCCACCAGTTAACGCAGAGACATCTTACGCTACAACAAACACTCTCAAGCACCTTTTCAGCAAACATAAGAGGACCCCTAAGTAAAAAGTCAATGCTACGATCCCCCGTTCCGACCTTATCCCGAAACTCATAATCCTGGCAGAAACATGGTCATCACTGGACATCAGCGGCACCGAAGTTAACATAGACGACATGTTTCTGTTCAGGAGAGACACAGAACACAAGAAGGGATGGAGGTTGCAACATACATGAACAGTTGGTTCAGAAGTGAACAAGCCACTAACGCTGCACTCACAGAGTTCTCAGACTCTAGTTGGTGCCACTTAAGGGTCAAACACACTGATTGCCTAGTTGGGGGAATCTACAGGTCCCCTAATAGCAACTTGAAACAACCAAAAACTACTCCAGGTAAAATTCACAGTGTCGATGGGGGGGTACGACCAGATCCTAATAGCTTACGAATTCAAAGCTTCAACTCCCAGCCTGGAGCACAGTGGCATGACTCCGAGCCGGAAGTTCGATTGTAACCTGCAGAATGCCAGCTAACTGGCTGGACTGCACGAAGAAACTAGCGACAACACCCGCTGGGGGTCAAATGGCAAACCGTCCAAACTGGATTGCCCACTGACTTGCGATCATCCGGTTGAAAAAGTCGGAGCCCAGACTCCTCTTGGAAGTGGCGTACATGCTATGGTGGTGTTTGACGTGGTAACCAATGATCAATTATCGCGGGAGACCTCCCTCTTGCCTCTGTTACAAGAGCGCAAACTGCGGAGGAATATGCCAATGACTGTTGAGAGCTCCATGGCCAGTGGATTGATGTTCTCTATCAACTGACCAACACTGGGACCTGGTAGGAGACATCATTAACGCAGCGATCTCACGAAACGACCCCGTGGTGGTAACAGGACCCAGTAAGCGAACCTCATGGCTAAAATGAGGCACTGAGTGCCCTCTCAAAGCTAAGACAAGTGGGTGGAATAAACGGAGGCTTTTTAGAGAAAAGGACGACCACGACGCATCAACAGCTCCGTGGAGTCGACGCATTGTCAGGGTGTGGGAGGACAAGAGGTGGTTCCATTTCAACCTCGCCAAGACGCTCGAGGTAAATCTTAAAAGCCTAAACAGATTCATGACAAAGAGAACAACGACAACCCGAAGGGGGGGTCATAAACGGTCCGAACAGTAAAAACCTCTCCAAACAGGAGATCTCCAAAATGTCAGGCAGCACCTTTGACACAGCTCAACATTCCACCAGGAAAGCACGCATACCCACTCCCGAACGGCCCTCAACGTTATCCGGTGCAGCGGTTACATGAGGTATAGATAGCTCGTACTGTCGTTCTTGATAAGCCACCAAAGCCAAGAGCGAAAAAATCCCCAGGGAGTGACGACATTCACCCACCTGTGTCGGAACAACTTCCCAGTGCCCTAGGTTCCCCTACTGTGCGGTCCCTCCCAACCGTCCTTAGACGAACAAAATCTCCCACCACGGTGGTAACGGGTCTTCCTCTCTTCTGCCTTCAAAGGAGGAGACAGACAGAATCTAAACTGTTACAGACCGTAGCACTTTAATCAGTAATATCAAAAGTTATGAAAAGCTCAGTAGACGGCCGCATCAAGGAATACCTGGACACAAGCAAGCACTCAGCGATGTTCAACATGGCTTCCGAAAAGGGAGGTTCTATGCTTTCCACATTATGATACCTAATGATCGATGGACAGCATACTGGGATCATCAGATCCCAGTCGGTGCGATTTTTATGGATTTCGTCAAAGCCTTTGACACCGTCTGGCGTACCCTCCTGATACAGAAAATAGCCGGGTTAGGTATCCGCTGCCAGGCGCCATCGTGGCTGCAGAACAATTTAGATAATGGTGAGTTCTGCCGGAAGGTCAACGGGGTCTACTCAACTTGGAAAACAGCATTATCCGGTGTCTCAAAAGGAGCTATCTTGGGTCCATCGTAGTTCTTACTGTCAGTCCTCCGATCTTCTTAGCTGACAACGTCAAGTTATAGAGGGCAACAGCTGGTAAAATGGAACCCAGTGAACTACAGAAGAGCCTCAAAACATCAGGGGAGTGGGATTACAATGACAAATTGACATTTAACCTGGATAGATGCCCGTCCATTTTTTCAACATCTCTGATCCACAGAAAGTACCTTACTCTCTCTTTGATCCATATGCGTCTCATACGGTGGCAAAAAAGAGCTATGTTTAATGGTGATGGAGACACTGGGCGCTAAATCCAATTGCCCAGGAGATCCCCCAAAATAATACGGTTTACTACGCTTCATGCGTAGACATCTAGATTCCCCCAACCCAGAGTTCTTTTTGAAACTCTGTAAGATGTACAGACGACCACGTTTGGTGACGCTCCACCAGAAGTGAAAAGAGGCACCAACCTGCTGGAGAAAGTTCAGGGGTGAGCCTCAAAATAGGTTACTGGGACGCAACAGAAACTATGTGAGAATAGACTAGAAGGCCCAGGCCTGTACTATCTTGGCTGTCGAGGGCTACAAAATGGCTTGATAATAGCTTACAAAATACTGAATAGCCAAACTCACCCGAACAGAGGAATACTGCCGAATAGCCACTATGGTGACCCTCACTGAAACTAAGAGAATTGTCCACCAAAAGTCAAAAATTCGCATGCGTTTGCGCTTCTGCCCTCTAGTCGGTGGCCACTGAAATGCATTACCAGCACAGGTAGTCTCCTCGCCATCTGTCCAAAGTTTCGAGAAAAGGCTAAACAGTCACAAAGAGACCCACGGCCTACCCAAATGCAGTTATAGTACGAACTAAAGGGAGAAATCTACTACCGTCACACCACTTCAACCGTGTTACCTCTACACCAGTTTTCTCCCTATTTCAACCGTTTAAGCCCTTTTCATCCCTTTCACTCGCTATACACTAGCAGCACCCCGCTCGCTCTACTTGGATGCAAGTAGATTACTCCATCAATTCACTTTTCTTTGCCTTTTACCCACATGTATTTGTCTTCCCAGGTCTTCTCTCCGGTGTTCACAACTCTCTCTAACGACCAGTTCGAACAACCTTCTGGAAATTCAACGTTTGCAAAGCCCAATCGCACCATAGTCCCAGACAAACTACCCAGCATTCGATCTCCCGTTCTGTGCACCAGAGCCATAGCAGACGAGTGTCTGGATCTACTGCATCGGAACCTGCCAAAGAAATGGAACCGTTCTACATGACCAGGGAGAGAGCAAGAAGAAATCAGCCGGCTCACACAAGCCCGTTACTTAGATATTGGATACGGGAACCACTTTCTGTAAAATTGAAAAGCTTCAAACTTTATGCGCCGTACCTGAAAAGTGACTAGCCGTTACTCAGAATGGTTGGTCGACCGGGTGAGCGCTGCAGCTTATTGTTTGTCCGCACGCTCTTCAGGATAATGATAATATTTACTTCTGAATATACAGGCACACACCATTTTTACAAGTATGAATAAGTTTATACACAAATTACATTCATCTTCATGGAAGGTGATCTGGATCCCTACCCGCTGTCATCAGAAGACATAAATGCTGCACGTTCATATAATGGAACATCCCAGCAGAATAAGTATGCAGAAAATTTACAAGTTGGACAAGTGGAAGTATTGTCTTCGCATCAACAAAAAAACCAGGTTTCTATCCAGACACTACAGGTATTACCTAGAGAAAAATAAAGCTTGAAGGTAATT